TGAGAAAATACCATAACACACCATAATGCTCTTTGTTTCTCACCCCAAAATTTTGCAAAAGCATCGTTTTCAGTTTCTCTTGTGGCCATTTTAACTCCCAAGAGAAACTAAAGTCAATGCTTATGCAAAATTTTGGGGTGACAAACAAAGAGCATTATGGTAGTTAATAGTATTTTCTGGAGTGGTCAATAATTGGTAGCACGCTGCACGTACGAGTACCACAAAGGTCAAGGGTTCAGTCGACCCTACAGAAAATACCATAACTGTCAAATAATGCTCTTTGTTTGTCACCTCAAAATTTTGTATAAGCATTGTCTTCAGTTTCTCTTGGGAGTTGAAATACACTGCAAAACAGTCGGTTTTTTTTCTCAAAATAGGTAAAGAAATCGATAAAGCATGGCGTAAGAGTCTTACGTGCGCGAAACGCGTGAGCCTCACACGCTCGTAGGGCGTGTGAGCCTCGTTCCAGACCTTTTGTTTGACTGCTGGTGAGTACTTGAATACGCAAAAATACGGACTGTTTTGCAGTCTAGAGTTAAAATGGCCCCAAGAATGACTGAAAATAATGCCTATGCAAAATTTTGGGCTGACAAAGAAAGAGCATTATGGCATGTTATGGTAATTTCTGTAGTGGTCTATTCCCGTACAAAAAAAACAACAACAACAACTTGGCTCCATATTTTTGCAGTTGCTAAAGTTGCTTCCAAAACGTAGCTGCGTTGATTTTCTCAATTCGCATCGAAGTCTTTGTCCCTCATTTCTAACTGCGGAAAACTGAAATTGATCAGCCAGCAATCCTTATCTTTAGGTTACTGTTAGGCATGCTTGGCACGTATATAGCCAGCATTCACTTGGACTTCTACTAAGAAAAAAAGGATTGGAATGCATAGAACGCGATCTAATGGCATGTTCGTTTTGCCCTTCTATCGGGTGAACTTACGCAACGCACCAGCGTCTAATATAAGCAACCGCGTTTTGACCTTCGACCAGAAGCCTGTAATTCCCCCGCACTCCCTAACCGTTATTGGTTATTATTGGTATTTTATTTTTATAAACTATTATTTCAATTAAATGTTTATTGGAATTCAGCTGTGGACGGTAACTGGGGTCATTGGTCGTACTGGTCGGGCTGTAGTGTCACGTGCTTACAGGGACAAAGAACAAGATCAAGACAGTGTGACAATCCAACCCCTTTGCATGGTGGGAAGACTTGTGAAGGAGCCTCAACCGAGACAGGAGTCTGTGCTATGAAGAGATGTTTCCTTGGTAAGTGTAAAATGTTTTTTTCTAATGAGGACAGACTAGTCAAAATTGTAGCCTGCGTCGCAGACAGTCGAAATCCTTCTGGGTCTTAAGTGACAAGTCCCGCTGCCGCAACTCAGGCTATCAAAACTGCTGCGGTTGTAAAATTTAGTTCTCTAAAAGAGAAATGCTATCACTTTGTCCAAAACATTTTCTTGGGTTCCGGATGAATTTTTTTTTACTTATCTGGTTAAACTGAGTAATATTCGCCGTTTCACGTGATGGTTTTTCCTTAGCTTAAGCAGCTCCTTAGAATCTCGTAACGGGATATCACAATTCTACAAGCACCAACTATAACTAGCAGTAACCCGGGCCAGGAAATGCAGGCGAAGATGTGATTTATGAAAACCGCTTTCATAATTGTGTGAGCACTTTTAGTTCCAGTGTCAACCAAAGGATATCACTGCCGTTCATGAAAACTGGATTGACCAACACAGTAAAGAAGACGCATATTTAATTCAACGATTTTATTCGAAGTTGCTTAGATATACATTGAAACAGTAATGGTACAATGCTTGGAAACGTATAAAAATATTAAAAACTATACACTGTAGTAAAACCTGAATAAACTTAATTTACATCGATTTCTAGACTTTGCTAGCACTCGTGCCTTACCGAAAACTTGTCCCGCACTAAGCTGAGATCAGGATCTACTTTCATTTTCCTGGGTAAATAGATTCCAGGCCGAAAAGGTGAATCGAAAAATCTCCCATTTAGTACAGTTCTTGTGTACCTGAATTACGTGATGTAATGATTGTTGCGTCACTTGCACAGGGTGCATTCACGTAATAACTGTGACATCCGACGCACCTTAAACTCAACACCAGGGCCTTCGCGGCCACCTACCCTGCATATTAGTGGGTACAATACGGGTATTCCAAGAATGTGGACAGGTTCGGGAAAAATCTCGCGGTACACTGAATAGAGTGCCGCTGACCAAAAACAAAATGCTATCACGTGCACCTTGTGATAATGTGTGATAACTTTAGGAGAATAATAGAGAGATGTCGGTCACTCTTAAGACTTAAAAATGGTTAAATCTTAAAACAAAACCTAGAATTGATCATCACCTTAATTTCTACAGTTCATTTTTTAATGGTGTCCGTCTCGGAGACAATTTTCTGTACTGAAGTAAGTTTCTTTTACAGTCGACTCTCCCTTAAAGGACTCCTCCAAGGGCCTGTTTACATGGAGGTGAGGTACCCCAGGTGGGTGAGGTAACCCGCTTAGGTGGGGTAACCCGCCTGTCCATATAATCTCTCATTTTCATTTGATCACCGTTACATGATAGGTGGGGTGACACATGTTACCTCACCTACCTAGGGTCCCCCACCTCCATGTAAAAAGGTTCTAATAGACTCTTTGCCTTTCTTTATTCTCTTTATTTGACTCGCTATATAAGACGGACATTACTTTTAGGTGGAACTTTGTCAAGGAATCGACACGATAAAACACAGAACTATTAACTCAGCTGTTCTCAAAGCAAATGACTCATTGTCACGTGCTCATTCAACTGTCAATCAATCAAATTGCGCCTAAAACCGGAAGCGGAGGCACACACTTAGGTGTCTGTCTTATAGGGAGTTGAGACTGTAATTTTTTCTTGTTGCATTTTCATCAAATATCGATCAAACTCGGTCTTTGTACCCAATTCATACCTACAATCATCTTGACAACTGTCTCTCGAATAAATAAATTATAATTAAAAGTAACGCTGACTTGCTGTTTATTATTTTTAAAACCCTTTATTTCCTTCACATTTGGAGATCCTGATGACACGGATTTTGAAAATGGCTTTGGAATGTGGTACAATAGTAACAACGACAAACTGAACTGGCAAAGACACCAAAGCTTCACAAAGACTGTGGATACTGGGCCAAACGCTGATCATACTTTGGGTAAATTTGTACTCTCGACTATAATTTGCGAAAATATTCTCAGTTGATTCTTGCCTTGTTTTACCTATAAGATATGCGCATGTTCGTGACTTTAAACACGCTCAGTGTGTTGTGAGGGTGAATCGTAGACCGTTAAGCATCCAAATAATACGAAGGATCACATTTTGTAATTGTTTCATGATTGACTAGGGTGCTAGGAATCTCAAATTAGGACTTTATCTTTGAAAAAATAAATGTAGAGGTATACTTATTCTGGCGAAATTATATTCATGAGGACACTTAAATTTGTTATGGCCATCAAAAACATTTATTTAAACATTGGAAGTTTCTGGAAATAATAATTTAAACTAAATTTGATTTTATTTTAATTATAATGACGCAGAAGGTATATTTCGTATTGGGCGGAGTACCAGGCGTCTGTATTAACTAGCTTTTATCTAAAACGGTATCCACGTGAGATAACTAAGTATCGCTATCATCAAATATATTTTCTCTGTTGCCTTTTGAAGGGAATAGTGCTGGTTACTATCTGTATGTCGAATCGTCGAGTCCTGCACAAGCGGGCGACAACGCCCTGCTAGAGAGTCCATGGCTGAATCCAATAACTGGGGGACAGTGTCTTCAGTTTCATTACAACATGTACGGAAAAACTACGGGTAAACTCATGGTTCACTTCACAGAAAATGGTGGAGCGAAATATCTCCTATTTTACAAAGAAGGAAACCAGGGCATGGGCTGGAAGAACTTTTCCAAGAGTATTAACACCGCTCTTCAGTACAGGGTATGTTATGCTCCGTCTTTTATCTGATCGGGGGTAAGTGCGATTAGGACCCCCAAAACGGGAAAAATTTGCTCGTTGAATCCGGAAGTCTTGGCTTGCAGCTCAACCAATTCGGAATCGTACTTGGACTTGGACGCTTGGAATCCAGAATCCACGTTCCACTGACAAAGACTAGAATCTAGTACCTAGATTCCAGAATCAGCGGTGTGGTGTCCAAAATTAAGGACTGTATTGGAATCCCTTGCATGGGTCGAAACTGGAATCATAGGGTAAAACGGCTAAGACGCTTACCTGTCAATGAACCCCTTTGTTTAATTGCCATCAACAGCTAAATAGTACACTGGTTATCAGAGGAGCTCTTTCAGCTATAATGTAGATAATCTTCAGTTTAAAAAGTCAAGAATACAATCGATGAAAAAACTGTCGAACCTCTTTTCTTTCAGATTTGCTCGCAAAATCTGCGTTAACTAAAAAGTATGCATCCATTTTTTGCAGCTCACATTTGAAGCCTCCATTGCGAGTAACGGTTACTCCGACATCGCTATTGACGATGTTTATATAGATCCTGGACTTTGCAGTAAGCATATCATGCATGGTTATTTATAAGATGCAGATGTACATAACAGCCTTTACAATGAAGCACTTATTTTTCAGTACTCTTAAGAAAAACGAGAAAATCAGAACGAAAAATCGGAAGGTTTGACAAAACATAAGAAGAATATAATTATTGCATCACTTGTTTGACTGGCAGATAGCTGGGTTTTTGGGTTTGAATTATTGGGTAGTTTAGAAACAACGGGTTCGAAGAATAGACACAATTTTGAGGCATTTTTAGATGACTGCTTTCCTGCTCAATTGTTTCCCATTACTCTTTAGTTATCTAACGTGTCTCTTTCAACTATGATTCTTTAAAAACAAACAAACGAACAAACAACAAAAAGTGACTGTATGCAGTGCTGGCACTGGGCAATCGTTGACAGACATAATTGCGGCCAAATTTTTAGCTATGAAAATTTAGCCTCCCTGAGGACCAGAATTACACTGAATGATCTGTGGCTCCTAAAATTTATTTATTTAATTTTTAATTTTCTACTTCCGGTTGGTAATCGAATTTCGTCAAAATAAAGCGAATTGATGCTTGGTTCATTTGTTTTTCCACAACTCTACTGTCTGAGAGGCATTTTCTGCTTAAATTTTCAATAATTGAATGAAGTCAACTTTAAGATCGATGAATGAACGGTATATAACATCATCTGTTGATTATCATAAATTTAATTTAGTTTTCCCCTTCCCTCTCTTTTTATTCTCTTCCTCTTCGTCGTCATCGTCATCATCCCTTACTCGTTTTTAAAGTCGTAAAAGACTATTAAACCTGATGGTAAAGTATAAAAACGTTTACGTGTTTTTTACTTTTGTGTGAACAAATAGGTTGCAAAGACGATGATTCGAGATGTACAACATGGCAGCAGAGCGGAGATTGTGATAAAAACTCAGAGTTCATGTTGGCTAGCTGCAAACTAAGTTGCAAAGTTTGCGGTAAGTGAATTACCATGTTAATCACGGAAACCAGTAACCTGCATGAACATTTTGGACTCTTTCTATCACCTCAAAAGTTCTCGAAAGAATTTGTCCAAAAAGATGAATGGAATTCTAATAGTCCAACTGAAAAGTTTCTGGAAAATGTTCCACCTCCAACGCTCCCGAGGCGGTTTTCGGTATCCGTTCCAAATTACGAGTTATGGCTTCATGTAAATACATTTCTGTTTGTTTACTAATTAATTAGAATGCAAGGATATCCATTCCTCTTGTCCCACATGGGCCCAGGATGGAGAGTGTGACAGAAATCCTGCTTATATGCTGGAGAATTGCTGCCAGTCTTGTCGTAAGTTGGGCACACCCTATCATAATGCTACTGATTGTTTTTATTTCTTAGATGAGTACCCTAAATCCTCCATTACGTCCCCTCTTAAAAAAAAAACCCTCCCTCCCCTCCCCTTACTTTATTATTCTTCACTAATAAATGATAGACTGTATGGATCCATCACGATTGTAAAACTTCATTGGACAGATCCAGCGCGAAGGTTTATTTACTTGTTGGAAGGTCAGATTTGTTTTTGATCCTTCGGCATGACCTCAAACTTCTAGCCTTTACTTATAAGCTTTCTTCACTTTGTAATCTAAGTCTTTATGGAGAACCGATACAACCATCTAAGAGAGATAATTTCAGCTGGATAGGTTGGATATCACCTATTTTTTTTTTTTTTTGAAATCGCCGTTACTTCTTTATACACTCCTTGATAAACTCACCGCCTACTTGCAACACAGTGACATAGGTTCTTTCAATCATGCGGCCAAAAGTTCCAGAAAACGTTTTGTGGAAAGTCATAACTGGAACTCACTGACAATAGTCCAGCGGAAAAATTTTCCATGAAAAAGTGGTCTGCTTTGTATACTTTGAAAGATTTCCCAATGCTAGTTATCTACTCTCTGTTCTCCGTTCGGCCTTTAACCCTTTGACTCCTGAGAGGGGTTTTAGGCGCTTTTCAGACGACGAATTTTTCATGAGCCGAACCTAATACATTGAATTAAGTACACGAAGAGGTCGGCGTCTGAATCAATTAGTGACGCCTGTTTCAATTTGGAACGGCTCACCCGTTCTTTTCGCCAGTATCCCAGCCGGGAATTTCGCCTTTCGAGCGACTTTACAACGACTTTGATTTAGACGCAGAATTTTTCATGCACCGAACCTAAAATGCATAGATTCTTTTAACGTACTTTGTACGCAGTTTGACCGAAATGAGCCGTTTTTCTCCTTCTGAATTTAATAGTTCGGCTGTATTTGAGTTCGTCGTCTGAATCAATTCAGCTGGTCTAAAAAGCTTGGTGCGACCTTAATTCGAATTAGGTTCGGCTCATGAAAAGTTCGGCATCTGAACCGGGCCTTAAGCGCGCTTCTAAATGATGAGGTCCCATTATAAAAAAATAAATAAACAAATAGCACTTTTATAAGGTCGTTTATCACATATGACTCACTTTGCAGGGGCACCCTACGACAATATAGTTCAAAACCACTTAAACATAGCATTGTTGAACGGATTTTAGTATTTAAGAGGCATATATAGGCATATTTTTATCCCCTAAAAATTTTTCATCTGTTCGGATTTCCTAGCTGAAAGTCTAGTGATGCGAAACATTCTCTATTGTGCGAAAATTATAGGGATCAAAACTTACCTTTTCGAAAATTACACTCGGAAAAAAGGCTCCCGAAAATTTTAGGTGATCTTTTTAGGGTAAGAATCCGTTTAAAAAAATGGGCAATTATACCATTTTTTAGATGTTTGAAAATCCTAGGAGAGGCAGGCAAGCAAAAAATTTTACAACAAATGTTCCGAAAATTCTAGATCTCAAATCGTCTTCCGAACAGATATTTTCCAAAATTTGTCGTTGGGTGCTCATGACTTTGAATCGGTTTTTGTTTGTTTCTAATACAGTGGAAGCTCTCCTCACGGACACTCTCAAAGGTGGACGGCTCTACTTATACGGCCACCTTCACAAAACCCCGTTTTTCTCAACTTCCACACAAACTCTGTATTTTTACGTTACCGTAAGCGGTCAGCTCAAGTAACGGACCTATTTCGCGTCCTGAGGGTGTACACAAGTTACGACAGCTTCAACTGTAATGCCTAGTTTCCATATAGTCAGAAAGAGCATATTGAGATCAGGAGCATTCTCAAATTTGGCGGTGTTTATGGGCCTACATTGAAGGAGATACACCATTCAAAAACTACAAAATTTACTAAGAAATATATATATATAGGCGTTTGCAAGGTGTGTCCAGCAATCCATCATCTCTTATAAATTTTCAAGTTTATAAATAGCTGCAACTTTTTCAATATTTTCCATATTAGTCCCATCGGCACCAAACTTCAGATTTTTTGTAACTTCAGTGGGCTTTCTGACTTTGTGGGTCTCGTGTTGTTTATCCCATTTTATTATACAGACACGAGTGTTTTACTGGAAAATATACCACTCGTAAAATTCATAAAAACTACATCCGGGACCCGAGTGGTTGATTTTCCATAATCTCACCCGTGAGTTTATCGATGACGTAATTTTGGTAATTTCCCTCTATTATTTTATCGATTTCATTTTGTTTATATAATAAAAAGAACATTACACGGCGGCTCGGCTCTAAATAAACCGACACGTACCCTGCCCCTCTCCGTTTGAAACTATGCAATAGAATGGTATTATTTTACTTAATTAATCAGGTTGCAGGGATCTCCATTCCTCGTGCGCCACATGGGTACTGAATGGCGAGTGTGAAAAAAATCCTGCTTATATGCTGGAGAATTGCTGCCGATCTTGTAAGTTCTACTGTGTTTCTCAGCCCTACAATAGCTAGTCAATAGCTGAGTATTTAAGTTTTCACACTAAAGACGGATCATCTTTATCTATCCGAGACGGATAATTCATCTTCAAAATCCGTCACTGAAAATTGACGGGAAAACAGATGGATAAAGTCATGCAGATTCTTTATCCGAAATTAAGACCGTTCCATTTTCAAATATTAGACGTATCGATCTGTACTGACGCGAATTATCCAAAGGATAACCCGCAGACGGTTAATCCATCTCTAGAATGAAAATGGCCAATTTGGGTTTGATCGATAAGATATTGTCCAATAATTTGATATTCTAAAAATTTAAACTCACAAACTACTTACAAGTGTGTTTAACTGATCATGATATGACGAAATAACTTCCTCAAAACAATAAAACAAGCCCACTGGCAATTCAACAAGCAATATAACGATTTGAATGAAAAATGAAGAAGAGACACTAAAAGAAATCATCACGTGAAAATCGCTCATGTAACAGTGGAAATTTTGATTTAGTTTTCTAAATACTTTATAGGCTGTAAAAACAAAGGCAAGAACGAAGACTGCAATACATGGGCGTCAGCGGGCTACTGCTCAACGAATTCTGTCTATTTTGACTTTATGTACGTGAACTGCAAGAAAGGCTGCGGTTTCTGCTAGACCAGCTCTATAGCATGCGCACGCACGTAGCTTGCTTTATTGATGGGCTCATAATCTTTTCACAGAATAGCTTTAAATGTTCAGCGAGACGAATTACTGTTCTTTGTTGTGGGTTTGTATAAGTGTTTAGTTATATTTATGAGAAATTATGAAATGAATAAAGGCATACAGAAAAATCACGTCTGACTTGATCGATGGTCTTTTTGTTAAAAGTAATCAATTTTTTACGTTAATTTTGGGTTAAAATATATTCATTCATTATTTTATTATTTTTTTTTCCGGGGTTGCGGCCGGGGGTATAATAATGTTCGGAAAAGCGTTTGAAACAAAGGGAAATAAAATTTACACTGAATAACAACATATATTTCTCCGCTAATTTTTTTTAGAATTTACAAATAACGGCGATTTAAAATACTGTCATTACCGGAAAATAATTTATGACGGTTTGAAAAGAACATCTCTTCCAAGTCACGTTTTTAATTAGTCCTGAAGGGGAAGAATAATCGGCCCACTGAAGATAACAAGATAACTCTGAGTTGTCGTGGTAATCATAGTGTGACGGTGCTAAAAAACCGACATATTACATATTCAACAATGTATTTGATGTCAGTTTAATTAAAAGCCTTCAAAGTCCAAAAGAGGTAATGAGGAAAAAGACATTAACAAAGGTATGTTTAAATATCTAGATCTTAACACTAGAGAAAGGTCACGCTTTATAGAAAATTTCCAAATATCACAAATGCATGTTCAACGTCACCGTAAGACCTCAATTTTCTCTCAGCCGGTTGACTGCTGATTAGTAATGTTCAAGCCCCACTGAATGATGTACCCCCATGTTAAGTAAAAAAGCGCCTCAGACGAGAACCTGCTAAGCAGATGAAACACGTGAAGAACTTGGATCAACCAAGCTTTATGCCAGCAAAGTAACAATTATTATAGCTGTTGTCTTACTTGGTATAATTAAATAACGGCGTCTCAATAGCATCGTTGTATGTTAGATAGCCACGAAACTTTTGCATTAATATGTTTGACTTAAATACTTAATACATCATAAATCAGAGAGCGAACAATGACTTTGCTAAAGAATCAAGGAGAGGGGAAGGAGTCAAACAGGCTGATCATTTCTAGCTAGAAGAGCACGTTGTTGGTTTTATATATTTCATTTTAGATATTGAACTTGTGCCTATTGATTGTGACCAAGCAACATGTACAGACTTACTATACTTTTCATTGCCGGGGCATTCCTTGGACTGATTTGTAAAAACCATCCTCAAGGTAAGAAAAAGTTATCGATTATTCTGTTTACCGTGGCCGCTTTCGCCCCAGGACGCAAACGTTATTTTCCCCTTCATTTTCACTTACTCACAAATCCACGTGCCATGAAACTCTGTTCTAAAGTGGTAACAAATGAAACTATTTTATGCAACTTCTAGATGACCCATGCAGCTTTTCTCCTTTATGTAAGAATGGCGGGAAATGTTTCTACGATGGTGAAGATTACAGCTGTCAATGCCTTGAAGGATTTGTTGGAAAAAACTGTCAGTTCAGTAAGTTACCTTGCAAAGTAGGGCTTAAGTAATCATCATCATCTTTGTCAGTTACAATAATATATTTGCTGGTTTTTTAGAATGCATTGATTCAAATCCTAAACAGTGTCGTTTGTGGGCGGCAAGGAACGAGTGCAAGAAAAATCCGAAGTACATGAATTCAAACTGCACAAAGAGTTGCCTATGCGGTGAGCAACTTATAATTTATATTATAATTATTATAATTTATATTTATATTATTATTATTATATTATAATTTATATTCTAGCATTTAAGCCATCTCTTTTCTACTGCTACTCTTCATCCGAAAAAAAGACTACATTTGTTGTCTCCTAAACAGGGGTGTAGCGTGAAATTTTGAAGGAATGCTCCCTCAGAAAGTTTTTAAATTCAGGGTCTCGAAAATGCCACTTCCAGCGTTTTCCACGCGACATTTTCAGTAATAAGTATACGAAGGAAAATGCAGCAGCTAGTTGTTTATTTTACACATCTCTGTCTAGTGTTATAGAATTATAATAACAGGATAAAGGAAATACTAACACAAAAACAACAATATAATCCGAAAATTTATCGGTCATCCCTATTTAATGATAAAAATGTCCTTAGAAAACGGGGAGCATGCGCTTATATGGACACTACGCTCCTGCTAAATAGACCCCTCCAACAAAACGCCTTAAAATTAGTAGAGATTCCAATTAAAACTAGTAGAGATCTTGAAAACTACCGAAGATAAATCTCCATAAAGTCGCCGCAATTTACAGACGTTCTTACTTATGGCGGGGGAGACGTTTGATGGCTCGACGTTTGTGCCCCCCTCCTCATATGTAAAATTTCGCGAATTTGTGGCATGGAGCAATACCTTCGCACGCTATAAGCTTGGTCGGTCGGAGGTTAACAAATCTTTGGACCTCCAGATATCTTCTTCAGTGGGTTATTTTAAGAAGATAAATGCTTTTCTAGTTTGCACCATGTGCTGTCATGAAACTATTCACGATGAATGGACTGGTATTAAGATAAAAGCGTGGTTGGGAAGTTAGAGTGAATATGGCTTAGAGCGCGGTTTTGCTAAACACTGGCTAAATTCTATTTATAATAAATAATTTTTAATAAGGTGCTCTTTCCAACAGTGTAAATGAATATTGGGTATCTGGTCTTTATCAAAACTTAAAGGGAATCTATTAAGGAGCGACACTACCCTCATTAATTCAGAGAAAAAAAATATGATTAAACAAAATGTCTAATAGCCCCTCATGGACAAACCACGTCATTGTTAGGCGTCAAGCGGTCGAAAACAGTTGTGATCAATAAAAAAGTGACTGAATACTCGGTCAGGGATACAAACGATAAAACTAGTATGCCATCACGTTCAAACAGTGACAAATAATGTTTTTATCATATGACTTCTTGTTTTTTTGTGTGTGTGCTTTATTAGAATGTAGCGACTACGATGTTCGTCAATGTCCTGAATGGGCAAAGGATGGAGAATGTGAAAGGAATAAAGTTTACATGGAAGCTTTCTGCAGAAGAAGCTGTGGCCTTTGTTGAGGGGCATTACCTTTTTTTCTTTACCTTAAGTATTATTTTATGGAAATTAAATAAAATGTCCACAGGAAACAGTCAAAATGCTAAGCAACGTCTTATTATCCTTTGTACAACCAAAAGCTTGACAATTATAGATTTGACATGCGCAATTGACTTTACTCCTTCACCTCACAAAAAAAAAAAAGAAAGAAAAAAAAAAAAAACAGCCAGAGAAAGCTTTGCAAACCCGTTACTTCGTCTTAGGTTTACATATTAAATGTCTCTCTAGTTCTCCAACCTTTGACAAAACAAAAACTTAAAAAATAAAGATTTAAAAAGACAAATTAAATTAAACCCTACACACAACAAAAAAAAAAAAGAAAAAAAAAAAAAAAAAAAACAGCCAGAGAAAGCTTTGCAAACCCGTTACTTCGTCTTAGGTTTACATATTAACTGTCTCTCTAGTTCTCCCAATACGTTTTCTATTGCTGTAAAGATAGCCCGTTATCTCGTCTACAAGATGTCGTTAGTGCTGTGTGATTGATATACAGGTGAGGTTGCAGGGAGTCCACTATATTGTTCCATAATGTTACCCCCAAACTGATTTAAAGTTTAACTCAGAAAATACACTTTTTAACAACGTTAACCTATCATGGAAAAGAAGGATGCTTTAATACATCATTCTGTTGTTTTACAACTACTTCTGGTTTTCATTTTTTCTCTACTCTTCTGTAGGTTTGTCACAAGGGATCATTCACGTCATATCCTAAATACTTCCATCAAATTGCACTTGAATATTCTAAGAGGTTCAATGAGGCAAGCATAAGCTAGATAGTCAGCACTTTTGACAACTCTTTTTGCACTGTTCCTCCATAAATTGTTTGTTCTTGTCGCATTCCCCTAACTTTGCCCACACTCCACATTTGAAATGGTTATCTCCACAGGCTTAAAAAGTGAAAAAAAAGTGTATAAATACAAAATAAAAATAAAATTTGTAGAAATTTGCCCTTGAGATCTGTGCTCTGAAAGTGTTTGTACCATTGGAGGTTTAGAAGAATATCAAATAGACCTTATCCGCTCAAAAGGGCATATTACCAATGTTAGATTGTGTAACCATTTAAAGGGATTTGATTCTTAGTTTTGTTGGAAGAATACACAGTAATACTGCATGTGCACATGATCAAAATATATAGGCAACAAAACGACGGAGAGAGTAAAGGGTAGATCGTGTAACCAATTAAAGGGATTTGATTCTTAGTTTTGTTGAAAGAATACATAGTGATACTGCATGTGCACATGATCAAAATATATAGGCAACAAAACGACGGAGAGAGTAAAGTCTGTTTCACAATCATTTATCTGCAGTTCAACTCAAGAAAAAAATCGATTAATTTTTCGTTACTTTTTGATCAAACAAAATAGTATTAAGTCAGCAAAGTAAAACAAGTAAAGGAAATTGACAACTAAAACAACAAATTCATTCGTTGGGAGGTCAAATGAACAGTTCCTTAGATAAGAGAAGGGCCCGGCCTCAAATACTTTGTTTGGCCTTTAGGGCTTCAGTTTGGCCTAAAAATGAGGTTAGGGCCTCAACCCTCACCCTAGATACGCTACTGGGTCTCTGCTACTCACCACAGACATGGCAACTTCTAAGACAGTGGTCGAACATCCACTTCTTGTTTTTTAAGCACTGTTGCTTCTGAGCCCACTCTGGGCACCTTGGATTCTTATCCTGGCAGACTTTTAAGATAAAACAGTTTGGTTTAGAATTTACTGGGCAGGCGTAGACAAAGGTAACCGTAACTCACGATTGTTGAATTTATCTTGTTGTTCATTTTTAATTCTTACTTCCCTGAAAAAATATTATCGTAGAGATAGCCAGAGAGCTACCCTGCATGTATTTGCTTTTACAAGATTTCGATCGATGCGACCTAAAAGACAAACACGATGATTTTAAAAGAAAAATGATGAGATAGTTTTTAATTCTAAAATATGACATGTCCATAGACTGCTGCAAAAGTGAACGACTATATTTTCAAATTTGAAAATCGATGAATGAATTGATAAGGATTTCAGTCTTTTATTTCGTTACGTTTTTAAGAAATGAAGCTTTCATTACAAAGGGAGTCTTACCACATTTGCCACAGCTCAAAGCACAGTTTTTGGCCATATACAATGGATTCTTTGAACAGTATCTCAGCTTAGCCCAAGCTGGACATTGAGTCTCGTCGTTATCCTTACAAATGGTTGGTGCGGTGTTACCTTGTAAGGAACGATTCTAATTAGTAAGTTGAATGAATTCCTCATACTCTCACCTGTGCGAAAATAGTGCTAGATCAGTGACTCATTCGTTCTTGTCCTGCAAAGCTTTGTTACCACTGATTCATACTTGTCCCGGCTTATTCAATAATGTTAGCAACGATTGACAGATCATAGATGACGGGTAAAGTTGAATGTTGTTTGGGCTTCTACTTTTTTCAAATTTATCTTTAGCTAATTTGGGCTGTCCATGAAACACGCCGTGTTAGCCTGCTAGGTCAATCCAGTTCCTTCAACCTTGAACTTCACACATGCCTTATGTTTAGATTTATCCATGGCCAAAAGCGACGCTCTCCTGGGAACTTTTATGAAATATCTTTCTGAAGTAAAGTTTTCTGAGCCAATACCATAACTGGTCAGTGGAGAACTTAAAAAAAAACATGTCACCTCAATGAGTTGTACACCCTAGTCTGCGATACAGTAACGTGGCACTGGTCTGCGGATACCTTTTTTTGACAGTTGTCCGTTGATCATTACATGGAAGTCCAACATTGCTAGTACTTAAGACATTTTACATCCGCTAACATGAAGGGGCGGAGGTACGTACGGACGATTCTGTCAGAAAATAGCCAGTGGAGGAGACTGGTTATGAAAGCCGGCAACTTCATCAAAGTTGACAACTACGGTGCTGTATTGTTTATGTTGTATATGATTATGTGACGAGTGTATATCTGTGTGTTTGTGTGTATACTTAACCATTATTCTTTGAAATCGAGGTGAATAGTGGCCAAATATTTACCGAGCCGCGAAAGCGGCGAGGTAAATATTCCCAAAGCCACTATTTACCGAGATTGAAAAGAATAATTGTTTTAATATATACAAACGAAGTGATCTCAACAAAATCACAGAGGAAACCATTAAAAAGTACGATTTGATTGACAGATCAAATCACGCGTAAGTTTAAAAATAGATCTTTGCAGAATTTTCAAACATGGCAATTCACAAGTTTATCATTTCGCAAACAACAGCGTAATGGCTTAAATGGAACCGCTAAAAGTTTGAACTGTTTCCTTACCTAAGAAGAAAAGTGGAGCTTTTTTGTTTTGTGTTGACTCGCCAAGTCAACAGCTGATATTTGGTAGGGATTAGGAAAGTGAAAATATCGTGGCTAATTCGCTAACCTCTCGACCCTTTGAGTTGTTTTAGAGAGAAAAACAATAATATTATAATCCGATAATTCATCCGTTAATTGAGGGTTTTTTTTTTAACACCTGGGCAGACCTACGAAAAAAACAACAACAACAACGACAACAGAGCAAACTGGAGAGGAAAAGAAGGAGAAGAATGGCCACTTACGACAAACGTTACAGCTCTTCTTGCACGAAGTACGCATGTAGTCAAGATTTTTTTTACACCCATCCGGCTGAGCAGCCCATGCTGGACAGNATCACGCGTAAGTTTAAAAATAGATCTTTGCAGAATTTTCAAACATGGCAATTCACAAGTTTATCATTTCGCAAACAACAGCGTAATGGCTTAAATGGAACCGCTAAAAGTTTGAACTGTTTCCTTACCTAAGAAGAAAAGTGGAGCTTTTTTGTTTTGTGTTGACTCGCCAAGTCAACAGCTGATATTTGGTAGGGATTAGGAAAGTGAAAATATCGTGGCTAATTCGCTAACCTCTCGACCCTTTGAGTTGTTTTAGAGAGAAAAACAATAATATTATAATCCGATAATTCATCCGTTAATTGAGGGTTTTTTTTTTAACACCTGGGCAGACCTACGAAAAAAACAACAACAACAACGACAACAGAGCAAACTGGAGAGGAAAAGAAGGAGAAGAATGGCCACTTACGACAAACGTTACAGCTCTTCTTGCACGAAGTACGCATGTAGTCAAGATTTTTTTTACACCCATCCGGCTGAGCAGCCCATGCTGGACAGTTTTGATTGTCGTCTTTACATTCTTTTGTTAAGGGAGAAAAAAAAAGAAAAAGTTTAAATTGAAACTCGCCGACTCTGACAACTTAAAGTTCTCGTCTCGATATGGTCTACTGCCATCAACTGATCAAAATCAAAATTTTGGGGGAAAACAACTGTCATGAAACTGAAAAGAAACGAATGGACTACCTTATTTATTCGAATAAGCGCCCAACCTCGAATTAGCGCTCAGTCTCGAATTAGCGCCCATCCCAAAGGCAGAAAAAGTTAATAAGTGCCCACCCCCACCCCCTTCCAATCAAACTCAAATAAGCGCCCACCCCCACCCCACCCACTTGAGTGACAATGAGATTGAAATTGAAATTGAATAAGTACTAAAAAGAGACTTCCCCGAAGACGGAGTTTTCTTCAGAGTATTTTACAGAAACCTTGCTTTGTTACTTCTTCGCGTTGCATTTACAGTTTTGTTGCAAAATAAACAATTTACTACACTTGCTGATAATGGCGAATATTTAATAAACGCCCAGCCTCGAATAAGCGCCCACCTCTAATAACCGCCCACTCTCAAGGTCCAAAAATTTAACAAGCGACCAGGGCGCGCGGTTAATGGAATAAATATGGTGTATGAGAACTTTTTCATCTTCCTGAAGCAAGATTCTTCCAAAGAAAAGTACATTTACCCAAACGATCATGATCAGAACTTGTTCAAGATTTCACGTTGGTTTTTAGCTACTGATCTGATTTGAGTTACATAAAACATACCTTATTATAGGAAATCAACGCTCCATGAAATTAACGCGAATCGTTAAAATACGCGTTAATTT